GAAGACAGGAAAAGAGTGAACAAAAACTGGAAACAAGTGGAAAGAATTGCTCAGGATGCAACTGGATAGAGAATGCTGGTGGGTGGCCTATGTTTCACCACGAGGGGCAACAGGCGTAATTAAGTAAGTTTATAATTATTACTTCTTAACTGAACAAGTCATTCGATTATTTTGGGCACTGAGTTATGTACTAATTTGTAAGCTATGACCACATTATATTTCATACAGCAATTAAAGTAAAAAATTCCAATCACCTGGAAATTACCTAGTAAATACGCTTCGTGTGGAGGATTAGTAGAGATTGTAGTAAGTTTTCAGTTGAAATTACCAGTCGATCTAACATAATCCACCATTGGGAACACGGGAGCACTGGACGGCCGTTTTACCCTGGCATTGGACTCCTCAGCAGTGCACATCCAAAATCTCACGATCAAGACTCAAACACAGGACCTTCAGTCTTGCGCATGGACACTTAAATTATAGATCACTTAGCCGACACCCATTGTTGTTAATGCATGACTTCAATCAATCCATGATCATGTGCAACCCTTCATCTATTGCCTGCGGTGGAATTCTAGTGAGACGCCGTAACCATTGGAGTTCAATCCATATCGGGTATGAGACAGTTATCAACCGCATCCAAATTTATTGAGCACAGAGCTTTCTATAATTTTCAGTTATAGATGTTATTGGGAATCGGGGATTTATATTCATTTGCTCGGGTAGTATTATCATAACTAACTGGAAAAGGATAACCATGATCCGATTTTTGTGGTTTATAAGGAAATTTCCACTCGAGTATGATGAAGTCTGACCAGAATTGTTAAAAAAGGTTATTTTCTTTACTAAGGCATCTCATTGTTATAAGAATGTTAGTATCTTATGCAATAAAACTGATACCATTTAAATAGAAAAAAAGAATACCATTCCCCTCAACAGGCAACCTTTAAGATGAGGTTCATAATATAGGTCTCAAAATTTAGAACACCACCTTTCATAAAAATAATAATAATAATGGTGATAATGATAATAGTAACATTAATAATGATAGCAATAATCATAGTTCTACTAAATGCTGTAAAGTTTTGGTGTAGTATGGAATTCCTAGCACCAAATGTGCGACATTACAACAGTTATCTCTTTAACATATTTTCGAATCACAATCATTAAACACATACTCTCAAAACTGTTGCTAACAGTCAATATCTATCACTCATATTCAGTCATCAAAGTTTTCCACCAGTTCACTAGCTACAATCATCTTCCCATTCATCATGTATTAGGAGCCTGAATTCCAGAATATTTGACCTCCATTTCATCAAATGATTGATCGAAAGGAAGATGTGGAGAGAATCGAAGTGTTTCTGTTCGGGTTTTCCAATATTTGGTATTTCAATAATATGTGATTGTTTTATAATAGTGTATGAATACAGTACGATTAGTATTCATAATTATTCGGTTTAGGCAACTCCAAACCAGGTGATTTAGTTGTAATATTTGAATCGCTAGAAAATAGTTGACCTGAACGTTTAATCCGCTGTTAGCTAGACGAACTATAATAAACCAGGGACGAATGGACACATATTTCGTCCTATTTATAGTTATTTCTCTATGTGTTTTGTGTTCATTGAGATTTCCGTAGACAACCATGGTTTGCTTTATAGAAAGTATAGATGCATCTAAGTAATAAATCATTTTCATCAAAAAGTGACATTTACAGAAAAGTAAAATCTAGTGTTCCACGAACGTGGTTTTTCGAATGTGGTTAATATAAGAATTATTTTGTTAAATTTAGGATGGACACTTTCCAAATATTAATTAGTACATCAGAAGGGAAACAATAAACAAATCTTCATGTTTATGTGTAGTATTAAATCTTGTAATTTTTAAAAAGGTCTTGATCATTTTTTTAAACGACAAACTAATATGTTGTTGAAATTGGGTGAGAGTGACAATATATCCGGATTCTTTAAAGTAGGATAATACACCTCAATTAAACAGGATTTATCAAAGTAACATTAAAATTTAATTGATTGACAGCATTGATATATCATTGTCTCGTACCGTTTATGTGAACGGTAACCGATTAATCTATTGCAGAAAATAAACAACGGGAAATCACGTTATTTAGTAACAAAAAATGCCTGTGCCATAAGAGCTGAGTGGCTCAGTAAAGAACTCACTGAAGTTTGAAACAAATGATACTAATCACCAGTCATAATGACGTAGAAGTTCAGTGGTTATATGTTATCATATTAATCTGAATAGGGTTTCATAACATCAGATATATTAGTTGATTACTACCAAAGAATCGTATACTGGGACAAAATCTCTTTCTAATATCGTTTCTTGATAGCGACTACCCTTAACTAATATGAAGTCTCCACCAAGTCATCTGTCTTGATAATAATCATGATAAGCATTTTAAGAAGAATCAGTTAAAAGTAATCAATAAACAAAACTTCTAATTAAACTTGTGAAATATTATTCTGACTACTATAAAGTACCATGATGTATTTTTAACTCAAATATCATTTTTGCACTTTGTATATTTTACCTAATAGGAAAGATAGTACAGATCACAGCTTACGCGTTTAAACTATACACTGAAGTAGTAGACCAGAGATACTGTAGATTAACTTATATTTTCATTCAATTAACAAAATGATTCTCAAATGAACATGACACTGAAAGTAACCTATAAATCTTGATAAGCAAATAAAGTCCGAAAGTGAACTAATCAAAACTAACCAGATTAAATTGAAAAATTTCCCAACATATTCAGTAGTAAGATATTTGATGATGCATAAAAATGATACATATTGTCCCAGAATATTTAACATTATATTAAGAGCGAATTCTGGACGTTTCATTATTAAAATATTTGTTATTTGATATATTAGTAACACTCACTTATAGTTTACAGTATATATTTCTAATTTCAACCTAAACGATGTTATATGAAGCACATATATCTCATCACAGCAATAAGTACATAAAACAGAGGATTTCTAACATCATTAGATTATAGTTTTCTATAAGTCTATGACTTGTTACAACTGTATCAACTTATTGACATATTTTTAGTATGTTTATAACTAATCATCAATAAAAAGCACTTTGAAAAATTGCGAAGTAAAATTTTCTGGTTTTTTAAAGGAGTTCCTTAAAGTTTGTGGGGGTTAGTGATTATTGTTCAAATAAGAGTCGACTGTGTAAATGTTTATAGGCTAAAGTAATAATTATACTTTCTCTTTCTCACACCTATTTTCATTCAGTACAAACATAACTCTTTTTAATACGTTTAAACTCAAAATTTGTTATTTCTATACTAGTGAAATACATGAGTAATCGGAAGCTATTTACATCACTCTTCAGTGCTTGTTGTAATTCAGTGACAATATTTCTGAAAGTCAAAATATCGTATTCTTCAATAGTTAGGTAATTTGTGAGATGCATCTAACAAACAATAGAGAGATGACATACATAAAACCCCTTGAACTTTAAAGATAGTCCTAAGAATTTCAGCTTTATACGTGACTTGAATTCAACTAAAAATGTAAGTTATTTCATGGAAGTTGCAAATTGACAGAGAATTCTATAATAAACACTATAATAGTATACAAACTACTACCAACAGTAGCATTCCAAAGTACCTAAACCGTTTGAGGACTCGGATTCAGGAGACATTCTTATAGAGCTTAAAACTTTATTTATTGCTCCGCATATTTAAGACCTTGGAGTCAAGAAGTAAACGAATGAACTCTGCTTGTTAATAAAGATAAGTAAAAGTTTTTTTAAAAATGAAGAATTAAACTTTCAAAAGGGATAAAATATTGGAGATTTTTTCAACTTAGAATCCATAAACCTAAATATGACAACACAAACACATTTGTTTACGAGTCTAGCAGTACAAGTGGTCCCACTTTGAATAGAAAACGTTAAGCAGAATCAATATCATTATTTGTAATGGTAGTACAAGAAAATATTATGGTAAATAACTTAAATAATAGACTAGAAATGTTTTGAAGACTAAATGAAAAATTCTATACTACAGTGACATAAATTATTTATCTAGCCTTCTAAAAGGAGCATTCATTAATGTAATTTAAATTTCTAACTGTTTGCTAGGGCTCATATAGGGAACCTAGTGTTCTGTGGCAGATCATACTAATTGTTACGAGCTTCTAAACAGTTTAATATTGAATGTATGCATCATCTCTGCAGTGAACTGAATTAGGCAGTGACTTTAAATATGTACCACAAAGTGTGGATAACTGATTCGATACATTTTTTCAACAAATAACTTATATTCTTTACTTAATACACCTCACCTATCCAAGATGTTTTTCAACCACTGGTCCTAAAACAGGTAATTGAAGACATTACCGACCAAATATCCTGCGAATATTTTCTTCTTTCAATAGTAGGACCATCAATAACATGGAGTATAGTCAGCTCTGGATGGCACTTAGGTATCTCATCCAAGTTTCAAGTGACCCATGTTGGTTGAAGACTGAAATTTACCTACTGGTCAGTTTATAGAAGGCAACGCAGGTTTAAACAATTGAAGCGTATACAAACTTTAGCCTGATTACCATTATAGGTCAACCTTCAAACAATATTTATTGGGTAAAACTGCACCAAAATTACTTACCTTTTCTTATGGTGTTCAGAAGTTTTCATGTCTTTCATCATTTAACCTAATAACACTATAATGCTTCTTTTAATCGATTCGAATGATAATTAGACAAGAGAACAGTTCTTGTCCTACATATCCTAGTAAACTTAATTCCTAATTTATGACTTCATTCGAACATTAAGCATGACTTTCACTTGTTTAAGCGTGATATGAAGAAGATTAACGGAAGATAAGAGAATGCGATCAATACAGTAATTCAGTAGCATAGTAAAACTGTGGAAAATCAAATAATTCTTTATCAATTACAAGACAGTATCATAACAAATCGATAATGCGCATCTTCTGCACACTAACTTACATATGTATAGGTAGATAGGTCTACACACAATCTGTCTATTTTCTCTGTAGATGTATGCATATGTTTATTAGATAAAGTGATGACACGTGACCAAATGAAATTTTTCAGGTACCTTGGTGAAAAATAGTTACAAAAGTTACATACAGATAAATAAATAAATGACAAATGCGGAGTATTTTCACACTTTCCATTTTATTTAACTATATTTAACGGTTGTCAAAACATTAATGTGTAGTAATATCTACCACATGGATTCAAACAGTTGCTAAAAGCTTAATTATTGATCCAATGTGAGATCTTCATTTAAATTTTGAAGCTAAATTAAAGATCATAACAATGATACCAAACAGTTTAAAATCATGAAGTTAAGATTATACTATTCAATGCATTCATTAAGTTATTATGTGTAATGAATAAAAGAGGCACTGGCAGTTATCTGTGCTATGAAATTTTGGTTGAAATAATTAACGTTCGTTATTTCACACTTCCTATGTGTGAAGGCCTCTCAGCAAATTTTAAATATGAAAAGGCATCGCAGATAATAATGTCAACCCACCAGAAAGGTGCAATGCAATGTCCCCGTCGTGAGTTCATACTAGAGTCTGATACATTCTTTTTTTTCATGACTATAAATAAATCTGGTTCGGTAGATGTGATCATCGTTACTATTTCATTCAGATCGTGTCAATTGTATCGTATATAGCGCGATCTTCGAAAACTATGATCGCTTAAATAGTTCTCCATTGTCATTAAATCTATACGGAATTTACTTCCGTGCACCAAAGTTGTTAATCTCCTAAGTCACTTAAAAACAGATTTTGAAATCAGAAATAAAAGATCACAAAATTTTTAAATAATAAGTGCTTGAATTCTACTTATAACACAACCAACATGTGAAACATGAATTAACCACTCTATTTCTTGAATTAACGATGGGTCTGAAGGGCTTGATATTGATTATATATTAATAGGATAATGAAGGTAGTGAAAACTATCAAGATATTTCAGTGTGCTTGGAAATCAATACAACAATTAAAGTCTGGTAAGAAAAAGGTGATGTTTTGTAAGAAGTAGTTACAATCGACAAATGAGTTTGTTATCAGAAGTTTGACCTGAATAAAATTTGTTGTCTTGCTTATTTGAATTTGCCTTGAATAAAAGAGAAAAGCAGAGACTGTGGTGTGTGAATATGTATTTATAAAGTTCAAGATTGTATAACAACTTTATGGAATGCAGAAAACATTTTTCTAATATGCACTAATTATGTTTTCATAATTAATTAGGCAACTGCGTGATGCATCAAAACTTACAGTGAAAGAATGTGTTTGTAAGTACGCTAAATAATCCGAACTAGTAAATAATAATACAATCAACAATAATGAGAATAATTCTTGCTTTCAATGGTATTCACTATCATTGTTAACTTGCAGTCTAAAATTAAGCAAACTAACATTCATTCACATGTGTAAGAAAAGGCTCTGTAAAGGGCTCAAGATTTTGTCGCATTATCTTAACTATAACCATAACACCCACTGAACAGCACTGATATGAAATGATCAAATGATTGAACGAAATCCTATGATCTTGCTTTCTTTCCTGATTAACGATCGTTTACAAAGATATACGACGAATGGATCAGAAGTGAGTATTTTAATCCTAGAGTCTGCAGCTGTAGCTGTAGCATTACGAAGGAGAGGGTTGTGAATCATGTTGATTTCACATAATACTTTGTTAATAACTGTACATAAACAAATCAATGGGAATTCAGTAAAAAAAATTTCCTTCACGTCTATATTATTCACTCAAGCTGTACAACTGTATTTATAATTATTCCACCGATAATTTGCAAATATGATACCAAATACTGTAAACTTTCTCCTGAGTCATACGACACTAAACACTATGCTTTCGCGTGTTTTGATCACATTAATTATCATAGTTGATCAATACTGATAGGTAAGTAAATAACAATGGTTAACATTTGATGATCGCCTCTTGTTTATGGGAGAGGAATTATTTGACTGCTTTGGAATACTAATACATTGGATTGCTCTGACGACTACCATAAACATATATCAGAATTTTTTCAGTGTTGAACTTTCTTGCGATTGACTCTAATAGCTCTAATGCTAATTCACTATTGAATTCTCTACATTAAGGGGCTTAAAAAATACATATTTTTGTATCACTATGATCTCCATACTATTTTGACTAATATCTATTGAAGAAGGATATCAACTTGCAGTTTAAATTAAGTGTACTGAAATTAAGATTCAAGTAATTACACATTTCTGTGAAAAGATTAAGCAAAGAAGTAAATTGTAAATTGATTACCAAAGAAATTAACTTTCATTGGTGTAACTTTTACGTATTTTTGTGAACCTGTAAGCCTAAAAACATGTGGTAACCTGAATAAAGTTCACTATATTATGGTTAGAAAAATACTGTGATAAGTAATTGAAAAATGAATCAGATACTGCGTATCAAAACGGACTTTTAACTAAGGATATTTGTAAAGACAATGATATACGTACTAACTGGTAGACAATTTTTTAAGTCGAGTTATTGCAACTCATCACATAATGCCGAGTCAACAGATTTCAAATACACATTTGGCAAATGGAATACTGAAAGATGACCAACTACTGAGATAAGTTAAACTATTTCTGACAAAATCCTATCTGATAACAAGCATAAAGCTAATGTAATAATATCATAGAATATACTTATATTTAGAATTTAATTTTTCTGTACAATAAACAATCGATAAACTGGATAAAAACACGCGCAAAACCATTTTGGTCAAAAAGGATTATCCATCTAAATAGTTTAGGAATTTTCCTTGAAGTCACATAATTATTCAATAAGAGAAATGTGATTAACAGAATGAGTGTAGTACCGCTTTAAACCGCAATTGAAAAGATAAACAAATAGGTCTCAAGGTTAACACGAAAAAATATCAAATGATGGCATAAAACTAGTAGGCTCTACTACCATAATTTTCCTAGAGTTTTCGATTCATTGAAGGGTAGAAGTTACTAAAAATTACTTACTTACTTACACCCCCAAAGGAACATAGGCTGTCGACCAGCATTCTCTAACCCACTCTGTCCTCGTCCTCCCTTTCTAGTTCTATCCGATCTTTGTTTATTCTTCTCATGTCTGTTTCCATTTCTCGATGTGATATGTTCTTTGGTCTTCCTCTTTTCCTTTGGCCTTCAGGATTCCATGCGAGGGCTTGCCTTGTGACACAGTTGTGTGATTTTCTCAATATGTGTCCTATCCACTTCCAGCGCTTCCTGATTTTCTCCTGCACTGGAATCTGGTTTGTTCTCTCCCACAGTAGAATGTTGCTGATAGTGTCTGGCCAACGGATCCGAAGTATCTTGCGTAGACAACTGTTAATAAACAACTGTATCTTCTGGATGATGGCTTTCGTAGTCCTCCAGGTTTCCGCCCCATACATTAGGACTATCTCGACATTTGTATTGAAAATCCTGACGTTGGTGTTGATTGACAGTTGTTTTGAGTTCCACATGTTCCTCAATCGTAGATATGTTGCTCTTGCTTCACATCTGCATCAGATCCACCGTATTCATCAATGTTGCTGTTCAGATATGTAGAAGTTTTTACGTTCTCCAAAGCTTCTTCGTCAAGTGTGATTTGATTGGTACATATTGCGTTGTATCGAAGAATCTTGCTATACCCTTTTTGTATGTTAAAGACTACTACTACTGCTGCTGCTGCTAAACTGGTCGTCTTATCCTGCACTTGTTGTTGGGTGTGTGATAGAAGAGCCAGATCATCTGCGTAGTCTAAATCGTTCAGCTGCATCCTAGCCGTCCATTGTATCTCGTGCTTCCCTCCAGATGTTGACGTCTTCATGATCCAGTCGATCACCAGGAGAAAGAGTGGGAGTGAGCAACCTTGCCTGACACCAGTCCTTACCTCGAACGAGTCTGTCAACTGTCCTCCGTGCACGGTTTTTCAGTTTAATCCATCATAGGAATTCCGTATGACATCGACTATCTTCTCAAGTACGCCATAGTGTCGAAGAAGCCTCCATAGTGTTGTCCTGTCCATTCAGTTGATTGTTCCACAATGATCCGTAGAGTTGCGATTTGGTCTGTACTTCATCGATCCTTACGGAATCCAGCCTGTTGGTCTCGAGGTTGGGCGTCTACAGAGTCCTTCATTCTGTTTAACGATGCCCTGTTGAAGACTTTTCCCGGTATTGAGAGGAGAGTGATGCCCCTGTACTTATCACACTTTCTAAGATCGCCTTTCTTTGGTATCTTGATCAGAAGTCCTTCTTTCCAGTCTGTTGGTGCATGTTCTTCATCCAAAATTTTGCTGAAGTTACTAAAAATATTCGGTTATTTATAGTACATTTGAATCTACTCAACAGTTGGGTTCCAAATAGAAAATTCCCTCAATGTAGTATTCAGTTAGTTTCCATAGTTTTACAGTATTATGATTTTATGACTCCTCGAATAATTGTTCTTTTTAATCGTTTAAAAATCCCAATCATGTTAAAAGACTAATATTTGAACGAAGAATATTCTTTTCGATAAATTCTCTTCAGGTTCTACAATTATATATCCAAATTAATAATCCGAAAAAATGGCCAAGTGAAAAGCAACGTACATCGTTTAATGCATGTAGATTTAGGAATGAGGCCGTAGCCATCAGAATGAAGAAACCTGAGCTATGTGTACAAAAGAAATATCTCCAACCCCTACTCCTCCCTTGGCCAACCACAAGGCCAATTAATGAACAATCATCTTAGCTATTGTATGACGTAATTTGACTATGTACTTACGACCTTTCGTAGTCGAATGTAATTGTCTCATTTTTATTCACAAATCTTTGTATTATTATCAGAAGGGGTTTTGTGGAGATTTAGTATTTTTCAATTGACTCATGCTTTCTACTATGGAAAAATACTTTGTATTATTATTATTGTTATTATTATTGGTTAAATATCATTATTAATCCCCCCTAAACATGATTCATTCACATCGCATTGATCCCTCCTTATTACGTCTCACTAATTTTTCACACATTTAGTCTTCCACTTGATCGAATTGTAATTGCACTATCATATCTCTCTCTCACCCTATCTGACCCATATTTATTCTGATCACAGATCTTACATTTTCACTTTACGTATATACAGATTCAAGTGAACATTCTATATGAGTCATATCAACATTAACTATTTGGTTTGACAATCCTAAATTTACATGCTTTAAACTATGTACTTTGCCTTTAACCTGGCCAATTTTTCGGATTATTAATTTGGATATATAATTGTAGAACCTGAAGAGAATTTATCGAAAAGAATATTCTTCGTTCAAATATTAGTCTTTTAATTGTTCTTTTTCTAATAATTACTTTAAAATAGAAAGAGAAATGAATTTACTAATAGATCATACGGTTACGTTGACATGTTTTTCAACTGACAATATTTTTGCCAGTTGAATTACTTGATGTCAGAAACAAAACAATACTGTTGTCTCAAGCATAAGTGAATATTCATTGATCAAAACATACAATTTTATAAATAATATAACAATCACAATACTATGATATTTTACATTTCATGTTTAGTTTTTAGTGATAAACAAGAACTATGAGAAGATATGGATAGTTCTCAAGTAACTAGTAGAGTTCGATTAATCTACTTATGTATAAGCATAATAAACTGTATTTCTAACCTATGTAAATGACATGATAATCCACAAGATCGATCTATTTACAGAACTTCTATTTTATGCTATCCCTAGAGCTATTCTCAATTTACCGGTTTGAGCAATATAATACCTACAATATAATTTTATCAACTTTAAAGTATTAGTTATTAGCCTTTTTTATTATTTTGCGTTACATCCATTAACTAAACCAAATATCTTACTCAATGTATTCAAGATACATTGAATTCAACAGCAGTATGTTGAAGTGGAACGGAACGTTTTATTGTCGTAAAATTGGAAATGTTTCATGTTATTGTATGATAATGTTACGTAACTCTTTTTAATGACAATCAGTGTTTAAAAATTGGAAACAAAAGTCTAATGAGTTCTATACAATATTGAAGCATGTAAGTTGATTTCAGGGTTTTCTAAAAATGCTTTGTGAGTTTTCGCAAGCAGTCTATAGTAGCAAGGACAATAGTACATGTAACTCGAATCACAAAAATGGAACATTACTGAAACACTATATAAGAATAGAGTAGGTTGATTAGACTTCAAAATATAATAATTCATCTAATACTATCTTAACAATACAAATCAGCTTTATTTACCAATGATTTCAAGCATTTAACACTTGAGTTTCGAAGTATCTGGTTTCTGAAAACTGTTATCTACATTGTATTTATGTTCCAAAATGGTTAGTAGTTATTGCTCTAATTAAAAATGAGTGATTGGAAAAACTGAAACCAATACACAATATCATTTTTTTATATTTGCCATTGTAAATAATTGGCTATACGTGTAAATAAGTAATGAAAAAGCCTCAAAATACTTTAGATATTTGATCCATTTAGATGAAAATTATTGCTGTTAACAATCTATTGAACACAAAATTAAAGCAACTGGTGACATCTTGGTCATTTTATTTAAAAAACTTCAATTACACATTGTAATTTAAATGATTAAATTTAATATTTTAATCATAGATCCATTAAATGCTTGCCAAATAATACACCTGAAGGTTGTTTTGCTCAGAATTCTTTATGATTTTACGATTTTCACCACAAACCATAGTCAGCTTTCGAATCATTGAATCAGTATAAGAATTATCGTGTCAAATAAAAGTTTTGAATTCAATCTTATTTGTGTACGTTGATGACCAATATTGAGGTATTTCAAACTAAAATACAGGTATTGTTCATTATTGATTGTTTACAGCAGTTTATTAGACGACATCAATTCTTGTTAAAAATTAGCTTCAAAAGGTTATGTACAGAATGTATGAAAACAATGAACAAATTGGGAAAGGATATGAAATGCATAGGGTTCAAATAACTGGTTAATGAATACACAAAAACGTAAAAGAAACATCGAGAGGGGTTTTTGTGGATATTATAGTAATTTTAATAGTTGAGAAATCATCTAATATATCGATAGACAGCTTCTACTATATTGTTACTTTGAGACATTTTGCTTCCAGTTTTTAAATTCTAACCTAATTTTTTGTGTTTTGAAATGAAGTGGATATTCGATTAAGGCACAACTCCACAAACGGTTAGTTTTCATGGAATGTTATATGTTTCTCTATTAAACTATAATATTGTAGACAGAAAAGTATCTTCATTTAATTCAAACGTTCACTATTGAAAATATATAAGCACATCTTTTATTTCATTATATATGTAAACATAGCTGAAAGAGTTTGAAAGTTTGCTAATACTAATAAAATATTCTTGAATCAAAAAGAAAATCTTTATAAAACTGTCTGTTTTTCTTAAACAAGTAAAATTCACCAGATATATACAGATAACTGTTTATGATAATCAGTATATTATTTGAACTGCTAGTTCGATGTGTGTTTAGTACTTAATTCCAGAATAAATACTCTGTCGTTACGTTAGTTTCTAATGCAATCAATGTTGAAGACATTTTTCCACATACTCTATGTGTATTTAATAATAAATATATAATCCCAAACGATTACCTTTATTGTTGCTCCCTAGAATTGTATACTGTGGGTTTCTTCAAAGAGAAAACATAGATGGGAAAAAATTGAAAGAGATAGTTTTTTTTAAATAACTTGGAAAATAGCTTTCGATTGTCTACAACATTCTCGATGTCAAATGAGTGTATTTTATTCAGCATTTTCAGTTATCTTTTCATTTATTTAGTGAGTAAGAGCTGAATATTAGAGAGCAATTTTCATTGGGGATTCTAAATCCTAACTTGAATGATTTTTATTTTACTTGTCTCTTGGGCTTTCAAACCAAACATCTGTGAATCGCTCCAGCAGCCTAAAATGAAGTATTTGATGAAAATTACGCTAAATGAACGGAAAAACTGATAAAAGTTTAGAAAACAACACTCACATTGAATGGTAAAATGTGTTGATAACGTCGACCGGGAGATATATTACATACAAGGGTAATAACTTACTAGTAATACTTATGTTACTAGGTGACATTTTAAAATGCTTATGAAGTAATAGTATTCCAAATCAGCTGACAATGTATTATTCATATTTACTTCTATGTACGTC